AAGAGGCCCAGTGCTGTTGTATCTTCTTTTAAATAACAGAGAATAACCTATTCTTCCAGAAAGTCACATAAATTTTAACGGCATCTGTACAAGTATAGTCTGAAATGTAACAGTGTCCTGTTGTAGTATTAAGATAAGGTAGCTGAGTTAAACCCTGACTTAGTCATGTTTGGAGTAAATTTATTTAAATAATTGGAGGAGTTAGTGCGACAACATTTAAGAAAACTTTCTGGCATTAATATACTGCCATAATGTACATTTCTCCAATTCTTGGCTATTTCTATGGGTCAGGCACACATGCACAGAAATACACCACAAACAGTGTATATTGTCTGTACTGTTTGCTGTTTGTTGCAAGGAATCAAATTGCTGGGAGGCAGATTTCCCCCCCTTGTTTTCCTCCCCAAAAGCTAGGTGCGTCTTATACTTTGGAGCGTCTTATACTCTGAAAAATACGGTAACTAGCAGCACAGAACACAAAATATACCTCTAGAAAATGTATACAGAATATGTTTACAGCTTATAGTAAATGGTAGCTAATAAAAAGGAATGGGCAGCACTAGCACTGAACAGTTGCCACTGCATGTAGAGAACGAACTCAGCCTACCCACTTCTAAAGACTAATTTTCGAACGCTAGCATTAATATTAATAAGCATTCCTGCTTCTTGCCTAGAATAGCGGTAGTATTTCTTACCCTGTAGTAACCCGGAATACTGATTAATTGCAGCTCCTTTAGGGTAGACATAAAGCAAATATACAACAAACCTTCATTCATTTTAAATAAATGCTGAATACAAACTGGTAATATAAGGAAGATTCATAAAAATGGTACTCTGTGGAACATGTTTTTTAGTGGGCAGGTCTGGAACTGGGGTAAGCCTTCTTACTAGAAAGATTTAAGCATCGATATCCTGAAACTGTAGCTGGTAGGTGGAGAAACCACTCCAGAGTAACTTCTAACACTGAAGGGAAAAAGCTATATATTGCACATATTTTACCTTTAAATTCACACAACTCTTTGGCATAAAAGAAGCGGGATCAGAAAAGGCTACAGTATTTTTTGTATTTCTAATGTGGCACATGGACTTTGGGGGACAAAGTTAATGCACTGCAGCCGACTGCAACGGAATTCTGGCCACATCAACTCACAATGAGGACAACAATTCTGGCAGTCAATGACTGGGTCAATATCTTCATAACAAATACAAGGGAGAAGTAAATGTACTCGTATTTCATTCGTCAAGCCTAAGAATTAAAAAAGCAGCTTGGAAATACTGAAATGAAAATTACAATTTCACTCTTCCCCATTAAAATTAGTTGTGCTTCTATATGGGTTTTTTTTTAAGTGTTTATGCTGGTTCTCTTTGTGGTTTTTAGCACACCCATGGACAAGATGGATTTAAATCTTGTAAATAAGATATATTATTGTACATATGTATAGTTCTATAGCTCACTATTTTCTATTTAGGAACTTGTTGCTAAAAAAATTTCTACATCTATCTCCTTGTGATAATCAGCCCTGTCAACTTGATTTACACATGGAATTAATTTGGGTTTTTTTTAACTGCAATATTTCAATCTTTTCTCCAAAAACAAACTGGCCTGCTTCTTCCGAGTATTCCTCAAAATGAAAAAAAAAAAAAAAAGCTTTTCCTTATTGTATCAAGAGTAGTACATTAAAAATCTCTTGCCTTCACCTTGGCAAGTTGAATGAGAGTATCAAGTACATGACGGCAGACCACTGGGGCAGCCTGTGGGTGTATGTGAACCGTGGAACCAGCGGCAGCATGCTTCTCCGTGTGCTTGCGGCCTCCAGCTCGCTGGATCTGGAAGATGTTGGTTCTACAACCCAGAGCTGCATCCATGGAAACTGAGAGCCAAGAAAGTTGCCCCGAGCTTTTGGATTCCATTTTATGCAACAGGTCGAGTGGCCGGCTGTCTGCACCACAGCCTTTGGCTGCCCTTTTGCCTTTGTCATCTGGTGCCACAGTCCCCTTGGGCGTCTCCACGCACAGTTCGCTCTCACTGCTGCGCTGCAGGATGGAAAGTAGGCTCCGAATCACCCAGTTTCGTGTCTGCGCATGATAACAAAGATTCCGCAACACCCGATGAAGCCGGCTTGTGTTCAGCTTTGGCTCATCTACAAAAAGCAGGACCAACAGACAGGACAAGGCCTCATGGTCCAGTAGAAGGCGTCCACGCAAACGCAGCAGACTGTCTACATTGCTGCCTGAAGGTCTAAGAAGCAACAATAGAAATATCAGAGAAGTTTATACCTTATTCCACAAATACAAGATACTTCTTTAAAGAAACCCTTTCTAGCAAAGAGAGACTCATTTAGGAGAGGCAGGTTTCCTTAGGTCATAACTTCAATGAGTTGGAAAGCTCTCCTTTCTTGTCAATGCTCATTCTATCTGTTAATCAGAATGAATTTGAATCCCTTAAAGTTTAAATCAAATATTGAATCAAATGCTTATCCTCAAGGCTGCTGGTTCTTAAAACTATAGCTCTGCTCTTTATTTTCAAACCAATCCAGTCTGTCTTTCAGCTTACACAGTGAAGCAGATCAAAAGGCAGGACTTTTTGGAATGGCTAAGTACAGGTATTTTCTTATTTCTGGAGGCAAGATCATGGCCAGTCCAATTTTTAGATTTCAAATTAAGCCCACCTCCATGTTAATAGCATAACTAGTTTGGAGCAATTATTACAATTTTAGTTTTGCGATTCCAAACAAATCCAGTTTATCCCAGGGTGTATCCCTCCTCCAGAAAAATCCTGTCCCACTCAATATCTAGTACCTGCTGTGGCTGCTGCTACCACCCATCTGGAAGGTACCTCCTCTTTGTACAGCTAAGCGTGTATACTGGACACCTCTGTTTCCACTCAATCGACTTGTGAAGGCTGCGAAGAGTGAAAAGGGGAGCAAAGTAATTGAATCAAGAGTTGAGACCCAATAAACCAAACAATATACGATGACAAAACAGGAAAGGCTTGCCTTACCTGGGCTACGCAAAATAGCAGACAAGGCAGAAGTGCTAGAGTGGCCAAAGAGACGCTCATGCATCAGTTGACGCTGGCGGGCTTCCTGTTCTCGCCTCAGAGCCTGTGCCTCAGCAGCAATATCAGGAGGCATGACTGCCAATACACTATCCTCCATGTCTTCCAGCACACTGCGCCGCAGATCTGATGGCAGTGTTTGAATGAAAGTCACTGGATCCATGGGTGTGTCTGAGCTTGTGCTTTGGGCAAGCTCACGCCTTTGCTGTTCTGCCCGCTGCTGTGCCAACACCTGGAATTGAAAAAAAAGATTTTGAAAAGTTTGAAAGCCAACAATTTCCTCATCACAATGAAAACTTATATGCCGACCAAGTACAGTGTTAGTTTCTACAAGCAAAGCATTTCTTCAACCGTATGTCCTCTAAATACCAATCGCCTAAGTAAAATACCAAATTACCCAGTATGAATAAATGAAAGGCTGATATGGTATTAAGCCTTAAGGGAGGAATGAGGAAGCTGATCCAATGCACCAGCTGATTCAGCTGATGAAATGATGCTTTTTAAATAAACTTTGGTTGCTGAAAATGTACTATCAGTTTTTCCTGCCATCATAGACTAAGAAAGACCTTATAAAAGAAATATTCATGAAATAACTAATAATTGGAATATCTGCATGAGTTTCTCAGGAGCAGAAACTTTAGCTTGATTCTGACATTAACGCCTTAGTATTTTGATTAAAAACAACAAATCTTTACATAGAAAGAGCAAGATCAATTATGGGTGTCTATTTCATAAATAGACTCCATAAATTTGTATAAGTATGGAATTCCTTTGAGATTTGGCAGAAGAGAATTAGGCAAGTAAGTTCACAGAAAGAGTAGTGGAAGCTTGGAACCAACTTCCAACAAGGTCAGTCAGCAGTTTAAACATGCTTAGGATAGTCCATCCAACATAAATTAAAAAATAAATTAAATAAATTAAAAATAAGTAATTAAAAACAAAACAAAACTCAAAGGGCAGAATCAGTGGATCACTAAGTCTTTTTCTGCCATCAGTTTTCTATATTTCTAAGTATGACTAAAGAATGATTTAGAGCAGTGGTTCTCAACCTTCCCAATGCCACGACCCTTTAATACAGTTCCTCATGTTGTGGTGACCCCCAACCGTAAAATTGGTGTCTCGGTTCCTAAAGACCATCGAAAATATATGTTTTCCAATAGTCTTAGACGACCCCTGTCTAAGGGTTGTTTGACCCCCCCAAAGGGGTCCTGACCCACAGGTTGAGAACCACTGATTTAGAGAAACACAATCCTATTTTATGCAGTGCAATTCGGTGGACCACAAGGATAGCTTCAGTTTCTTACTTCTGTGAAGTAATTGCTTCGATTCTGTGTCACCCTTAAGAAGTGTATAGTAATACCTCTTCCTGGATAGCTGGGGGCAAAGCAGCCAAGAACTCAGGACTGACTTCTGTCACACCAGGATTGCCCACTACAGGAGGTGTTGGAGTTGTGGCCGTGGTGGTAGGAGCTGAACGGGCAGGAGGCCGGATACCCAACTGGTTCTGCAGCACTTCGCGTCGAATGTCATCAGGCAGGGCAGCCAAAAAAGATGGGTCGACACCTTCAGGAAGATTTATTCCTGTTGAAAAGGGATATTAGGTGCAATTGTTGGTGCTACAGAGAAAAGTTTACTATTATAAAACTGACCATTATCTTTTTTGCTCCTGTAACATTTACCTGCCAAAGGATCTTCCTCTTCACTGCTGGTGGAAGGCAGTGGTTCTTCCAAGATGCCCCGAGAATCAGCACCAGAAATGGCTACAGCTGAATCTCTGGTGGAGGAGCTCTCAGAGGATGCCGGTGGAGAGCTGCATAGCGGGGAAGAGTGGTAATAATTAATGCAGGGCTAACACAAACAAAACAGGACACCGGCTTATATTTGATTTCTGGCTCTTACCCATCATCCACCTGCTGGCTGGGATCAGGCTGGCCCTCCCTAGCAGTATGGGCGTTTGGCCCTTGTTGGCTTGCATCGGCTGCTGCCACCACAGCATCTGTGCCTGCCTGTTCCACGGTGCTAGCTCCACCACTCTCCGCCACGCTTTCTTCCAGATTGCATGAAGCCAGGCTGCTGGTGTCCATGGGTGAGCCCTCCAACTGGCTGCTGACAGCAGTCAAGGCATCTGAGTCTTCAGCTCTCTCTGGAGAGAGCGAAGCTGGTGGGAAAAGCAAGGCAAAGGTTTGTGGGCAGGGAACTCAAATTCTTTCACGGAGATTCACAGAAGAACACAGCTCTCTGGGATGCGAGTGTCCTCTCCAAGAAATTAGGACAGAATATATTGCTTGAAATACTGGACCGAAAATCTGTTGTTAACCAAGATTGCTAGCACCAGGTTGAATTAAGACTCTGGAGTGACAGACTGCAGAACTTTTCTGGAAAAACTATCAAAGCAGAAGAGTAACCCAAATAAATTGGCCGAACATTTCATTATTCAAGTCAAAATTTGAAATCACTCCTCCATAAAAAGTCTTGAGTTTTTAAAATAAAGAACGTTAAAAAAAGATTGATATAACCAAGACTATATCACAGTGGGGATTATTACACAGGCATTAACCTTGTATGTTAAAATTTCGTAAGAACATAAACATAAACCCTTGAAAAAAACATGCTGAATGTTTGGACAAAGATAAGTCACATGACTGCACAGCTACGTACAAGGGTCAGAAAGGGGCAACAGTGGCTGCAGGGTGAAGCCTAAGGCCACTTACTGATGGTGGGGGCAGGTGAAAGCTCCATCTGCGTGGCCTCAGCGTCTGTGCTCAGCCTCCCAGGGCCCGAGTCCTCCTGCTCCACTGGCATCAGCAGTTGCCCAGAAGCCTGAGCAGTGGACTGCCCCACCAGCTCTGAAGGGAGCTCTCCTGCCCCTGTTGCTTGTTGCTGCTGCTGCTGCTGGGGGCTCTCCAATGTGACCAGAGTCTGCTTAGAGCCAGCCGAGGTGTCTTTGGCGGCAGCTGAGACTGCGGGGTAGCCGTCGGGATGGGTGGCACCATCTGGGAGCCGAGAAAGGGAGGGAGGCTGGCTTAAAACCCAACCTGCTGAGCAGCAGGAGGATTTCAAATGGGGCCTTGGCTCCCCCCCCCCCCATTTTAGTAAAACAAAGCTCCGAGTTCCCACAAAACTAAGTGCATTGAAAAAAAGCAAAAGACAATATTGGGTATTTTACTCCACACAGGGAAAGTAGTAAGTTGTATAGTTATCTCTGATTTGGGGCACAAATCCCTACCCCACAACAATACAACTTACTACCTCACCCTGGTAGGAGCAAGAAGCACAAAAGCATGAAGGCAAAGTATTATGTATATTGTTTGCGCTACAGGAGATCCTCCCCTTTTCCCTGTACTGAATTTCTCTACTCAAAGCACACAACTGCGGTTTGTAAGATACAACAGCCTACTGCAAACACCCCAGCCAAACCCAACAATGGAACAACAACAACAAAAAATCTCCCGTGTTGCATCCAAACTTGGGAGCTTGGATTCCCAGTTCCTTGCTGGAGTTAGGTGTAATCTTTCAGTAGCATCTTTCTTCTTCTTCAGAGTAGGCAATGGTGGCATGATGGAATTAGGAATCCTCATAGGAAAGACAGTAGATTGTATAGTTATCTCCAAGACCGGGTATGACCCTAAAACTATACAATCTACTACCTCATCCCAGGGGGTCCGGGAACAGCATCTGCTTGAGCTAAGCTGGGGGAAGAAAATAAGACACCAACCAAACATCCAGAAGAAAATAAATTACCTGGGAGATTCTGCTCAGCTGAACTGTTTGACTGTGGCACTGGTCCCTACAGAGGCAACAAACATACAAAATCAGAGTGATGCAGAATTCAGTCAATCCATCTCAGGCTCTGAAGACCAATGTAGGTAGGAAAATACGAATCTACACCTTCTTTTTAGGACAGGAAGGAGATTGTGTGTTACTCCCACCCAGTGTCTCCATCTGTTTTTTTTCCCTAGTCTTGTAAAGCAAACTTAAGGACAATTCCACATAAAAGCTAGTAAACATATTCTATACATTGCTATGGAACACATAAAAAACTTAATTGCTAGCTCTGTCCTAAAATCTAAAATTACAATGCATACAAAAAGAAATGCAGAGTATATAAGGCTATTTATGCCCTTTAATTAACCATTATTCTTGTTAAGCAGTTTTACAAATAACAAATAATTAGTTTTTTATTATTCATAGTAAGAAAAAAAAACATATGCTGGAAGTCACTCTATACTGTTTTAAATCTACTGAAGTTATCATAATACTTTGTAAGCATCCTAAATATTTTCTTGAAAAATTGCATGAATATTATTCACTGATTCATAGAAAGATAACAGAAGTCACTTCTATTTTTGTTAGAGTATTTCATTTTTCCTATTTTGTTCAATTCAATTCTTCATTTGTTTTTCTGCTGTTCTGAACTTCTGAAAGTAATAATCTACAGTATTTCATTATTAATCATATTTAATAAACTAGCCTCCTTTATTTTGTTGCTGAATTGGAACATAAGCCTTATTAAATAAGGAAGAAAAAAGAGCTGTCGGGATTGGGCTGTGTTTAGCAGAAAAATGTGATGATTCTGGGATAAAGTCACTTAGAAACAACCAATGGTTAGGGCCAAGTCTCCCTTCCTTTCATAAACAGAGGTTGTTTGTATTCTGCAATATAAAGTGCTAACTATTTCTAGCTGCTGATCCTTCTTCAACTAACTTTAGCAGCCATACCAGATAGAAAAGGCCTTGAAAGTCTAATGCCTGGTTTTTAAGGGTGCCTTAAAGAAAATCCACAAATAGTCAAGTTTGACTGCTAACCTGAGGATTCTGCTCCTTGTCTTCTGAATCTTTGGCCTTATCAGACACTTTGGCCTCTTCCTCCGCCAATTGCTTGCGTCTTTTCTCTCTTCTTTCCTCTAGCTCTTCATCCCTCAAGGCTTCCAAGTGGTTGATAATGGGGACTTTGACCACTGAATGGAGGAAAGGCTTCCAGTCAAGCACAGTCAATTTAAGGGAGGAGGATACTATCTGAAGGAAGTACTCATTAGCTCACCTGAAACACAATCATGCATGCTTTCCGCATCAAGTACTTTGCATTCTTCCGTCCAGCGTGTCAAGGCAGTTGGGATGCTTGACAATGTTCCTAAAGAAGTGAATGAAAGGGACGATGGTTTTGAAAGAATTCAAATATCATAATTGAAGTATTAAGAAATAACATTTTGGAGGAGCAGGCTCCATAGAAATTGAAGGCAAGCTTGGTATCCCTTGAATAATGCATTCCTATGAATGTGGGCCAAGTAAATCCCATTAACTTAAATGAAGTTTGCATATATGTGAATATGCATAGGACTATTTCCTAAATTTTAAATGCATTTTTCTAAAAAGCATTTTCTGAGGAATTAACGCAATCAAATTAAAGCCAAAAAATCTTTGGAGCGAGCTTTCCCTACGCATCAATGTTGTTTCACTGTGACTTGGTTATGGCTAACAATGGTAGAATCAAAGCTAGAGGACAGCTTTCAAGAATTGGAAGTCTCTGAGATACATCAATGTACCATAATGCTTCCTTAAAATAATGATAATTCCTCTCCCCCTCCTGCTTGCAAATGCTGGATTTCTAGGTTATAGACAGCTTTGGTGTTATTCAAAACTTTGGTGAAGACACAATTATTTCAGTATTCCAAAGCCTTAGCAATTAGTTCCCTGAAGACTTGCCTGCCTGGCTGGTAGCTGTGCTCTGGTCATGAAAGAACTCATCCAGCAACTCATCATCCGAGCGAGCAATTATGTGCACATCATCATTGCCTACCAGGAGGCGAGCACGACCTCGACTCTGGAGTGGAAGGCTACTGCTTAGCTGCAGGATGTCTGCGGCTGCTGAAGGACCCAGCAATCTGAAGATGACATGCAGTAATTGGAAAGAGTTAGGAAGCAGATGTTGCAATATTTTAGGATAAGGATGATCCAATGCATGAACAAATTGCAAATAAGCCGCTCTCTTCTAAAGCAAATTACTGGGAATTGAGAAATGGGCAATATTGTTAACATTCAGCATTGTTCCCATTAGGCTCCTCTCTTTTTCCTTAGCTTACCTCTGCAGAATTAGAGGTGGGTTGGGCTGTCGGGTGCCTGGATAATGCACATGAATTGTATGTCCCGTATTGGCGGTCAGTTGTCGTAATGTCCTCTGGCTGCGACCAATGCCTTGGGCCAATCGAGTAGTAGAGGAACCGCTACCCAAAGTCAAAGAGCTATGGTCTGCATGCCGTACCATAAGTGGGTGAGTGGCCGGAATATTGCCAGGTGATGGAGGAATATCCGCTAGGAATGAAAATAGGAGAGTTAGCAGATCAAGATGGGGACTATGAAGATTTAAGCAGAGAGATTTCCTTAAATTATAAAATTGGCCAGACCCACAGATTTAGCAAAGGTAACATCATATGGGTTTCTAAATGACTTGTTGTTTTTGCAAATTCCAATTCATCTCATCAGCCTGGACAAAACACAGGAAGAATACTTCATTCCAAAGTAAGAAGAGTAGCTTCTTAGCCATCAACATTCTGCTTCCCAATTCTCACAGGTTCTAGAATATCATCAATATCCTATGGCTTCTGAGTTTCAGAATTCTTACTGGCGCTGGAGAACATGTTGTCAAATTCTATGATGAGGTCATCTTCACGGTCAAAGCGTTCAAAACGCACCAGCGGGGAGGCATTCATATCAGGATAGTCTTCATCTAACTCCATCTCGGAGCCGTCATCATCATCTTCCTCTTCTTCACCTTCTTCACCTTCTTCATCATCCTACAACGAACAGCAAACATCAAACATCAAAATCGACAATGTGTATCCAGGATTCTGAAATCCATCCCTTTGCATTTCCTCATAATCATGCTCACTACTTTGAACCAAGGGAAATTCTAAACCAGAAAAACTCTTAATTTAATTGTACATTAAGCAGACTTCAGATTCCACACATTATTAATTGTTCTTGAGACTATCAAAAACCAGCCAACTTTTTAAATTGTCCTTCCTTGTTATTCCATACAAGTCAGTAATGTGAAGATTGTAAAGTAAGTTGGCAGTAGGCTTTTGTGCTGGCTTTTCTCCTAGTGCCTTTACCTGATCATCTTCATCTTCCTCCTCCTCCTCTTCTTCCTCATCTTGACTATCATCTTCATCCTCATTGCTACCACTGCTGTCTTCTTCCTGTGTGTGCTCTTCCTCATCTTCAGGATCCAAGATATTCATAGAATCTAGAACAGAATTGAGAGTGCAGATAAAGTGAGGTGGCTTGTGCTAATTAAATGAAAACATTTCCAGTTATTTCTCTAATGAGATTCTCCAAACTTTTTGTTTTTTCAAATTTGGAAAAGCCTTGTGAAGCAAGATTACATAAATAATTATCTTTCTGCTTTCTAAAAAAAGAGCTTCCGCCTATGAACATTTTGAAAATATAGTAGTGTTAAGTTTCTTTTCTCCAGCACTGCACCAACCCCACCGGAAGGATGTCTATTGGCATTTTTATGACTAGAGATAAATGTTTAGGCAATGCCTCACCTTCCCTGTTGGCCTGTAGTGTGGAAGCCTGGCTCAGATTGGAAGGTGCCTCATCCATCAACACATCCTCCTGAGACTCATCCTCTCCACTTCGTCCCACTGAAGGACACAAAGGCAGAGCACAGGATTTAGCAGAATCATGACTGAACAGCTATTTTTTCTGTTGAGGAATGCCAGAGCTGTCCATTTTATCTATAAATACCCATTATGATTCTGATGTGATGCGGTAACTAAAAACAAATACACTGATGACAATGTCATGAATGCATTTGCCTCTGCCTAGCACCCTGAGAAAGAAATGAAATGTTTCTAAAGAGAGAACAGATAGTATGGGCATCTGCCAACTATTAGTGCAGCTTTTTCATGTTTTGCATGAATGAATAGCAGCCAAGAAATGGCGTGAGCAGCCATTTTTCTCTATCTGGAGGAATGGCCGCTAATATATGATAGAATTCTCTATATTATAATGTGGAATTTAAATTATTCCTTTAGATTACACACAAGGAAAATAAAACAAGACATGTTAAACCGTGAGATCCTAACTGATGACCCTAACATTGAATTATGTGTTTGCTCTCACCTATTATAGTACTATTTCCTGAGCCACCATCTTGCTCCAGTAATTCATCAATCAGATCTTCCAGTTCATTTTCGACCTAGAAAAACAGAGATGGGAACATCACTGAGATCCAGTTGTTCCACATACCTTAATAAGCCTTGAAACTCTACAGAAGCTGCACTACCCTGTGTGTTAGTACCTCTCTGCTTGTTGTTCAAGCACAGGTATAAATTAATAATCAGTCACCCCTGCTTCAGATATCACAATCTGAATAAAAAAAGGAAAGACTATGGAAATTGGTGGAAAATTAAACATTTCAGTCCCGGTTCTATTCAGTCATTTAAAGCTCTCTTCCCCCAACTTTCAAATATGATGTGATTTCACTTCTCAATTCCCATGGCTGTTGGCCCTTGGGAATTTTGGAAGGACTACATTGGCTGAAAATACTGTTCTCTCTCCGTTTGAAGAGAAACAGCGTTCAGGTAGGACCAACACTCATTTTACAAAAGAATTGGGGGATTGTAAATCTTCACTTTTATTCTTCTATATGCAATTTAAGACAAACTCCACCTAAATCAACATAAGCAGGAATTCAAATGACACCCCCATTGCATTATATTTCAGTCTTAAAAGTCTGCAGTCTGTTAGTTTTTGTAAAAACTAACTAACAAACAAACAAACAAACAAA